GAGACACCTTCGCTTATAAGACTAGTAAGCAGGCTACATATGGAGGAGCTGGAGATGAGTATGAGAACGAGGTCAACTCAGGAAGTGCTGATTTTCAAAATTAGGAATATAATGCGAGAAAAACAAAGACCTTTCAATGGCCACAAAGCCTTCAGCACAATGAACAACATTAACCAGCGAAGAATTGTCTCTCAACAACGTTTCATGGGCTTAGGTGAGAGGCACGAGGGACTAGTGTGTTACCGGTGTGGCAAGCCGGGATAAATCGCAAGCCACTGCCGAGCTGTGGAGCTTCGGTTAGCGAATCAATATCAACAAAGGGCGAACCATGTGCAAGAAATGTCAATACAGCATCACTGTGCAAATCGGAAGTCACTTTAGATAGCAGAATGCACGTAGTGAAAGGGCGAGGCAATGTACACTTTTTGGATTCTAACAATAAAATAAATTTGACAATGTGCTTTACATGCTCGAGCTAAAACAAAACCCGATCTCAATCGGACAGTATGTAAGAAACAACGACCAATTCCTGATTTTTGGAAGAGAACTTTGTATTGCCATTACTAATTAAGACCCTCATAAGATTATTATTTTGGGTAATCGGGACAAGGAATTGCAGCTGTATAAACTGAACATTAATGGTAGGGTCGTCGGCCATAAAGAAGAGATAGCCAACATTCATGGCCGAACTCACAAAAAGCGGGGAACCACTGTTGCTAACAACGAGAATAATGCTAATACTTCGTCTTGTTGGATCTCTGGCGGTTCCTGCAAGGAGCGTTGAAAAGGTACTTCAATCAGGACTAATCAGCTGGCCTTAAGAGCTATGCAAGGAGAGTTGAACATAGAACTACAAGGCGCTTCCAGGAGACCGGCTGCGGTGTTACCGGCGAACAAGAGGAGTGTGGATTGTTGAATGTCGTTCGACTCCGATGCTCCACTAGGGTCGATTGAGAGAGGTTGTTCTTGAAATTCTCTGTTATGGCGCTGAGTGGCAGATTCATTCTTTAAGTAGCTTAGTTATAGGGAGGCATTAGATTCTCGTTGTAAGGGGGGCAATTCATGTGAATCTCAAGGATCAGATCACTTGGATTGCTCCTGTAGATCAGTACCTTTTGTCACTCTCCAAATTCTGCTGGTCTTGTTAAGTGGCCGTCGCATTGCATCCAAGGAGCTGCCAGCAGCTAATTCAGACTCTCAGTGCACTTCTGCAAGAGGAGCTCGTCGGGGGATAAGGATTGGAGTAGTGCAAATGTTCAAGGTTGGAAGGATTTCCAACTGTATTCCGGCTCCTTATCAGATCCTACTTGTGAAAATTTCAGATTAAGATACTATTGAACCAACCCTTGTACTCAAATCATGATCAATTGAGTTTGAATTTGAATGAATTTAGGGTTTTGAAATAAATTGTGTAGATGAACTTAGGTTGAATGTGGATGATAAATTGTGGATGAATGTGGCTTAGAAGTGGATGAATTTGCATTCATGGATAAAAACTCATTTGTGGATGAGAGTTTGTCTTGGATGAATCTTAATTTTGGATGATTTTTTAATACTACACAATAAAAATTAAAATAAAAAATTATATTAAATTAAAAATCAAATAAAAAATTATTTTTTAAGTGTGTGGTTTTTTTGAGTTATTTGAGTGGTTTGTGTGGTTGTGTGAGTGGAGATTTCAACTACTTAAAAAATTAAGAATTTAAAACAAGATATTGTTTTAAAACAAGAATCTTGTATATTTATGAATTCAAAACAATGATAGAAAGACAAACTAGAAAATTCATCAAAGGTTTGAGAACTAACAATAGAGAAGAATTTATATTACAAGATTTTTTGAATTATTGTACGAGAAATGGAATCATTTGACAATTCACACTTCTTTATACATTCCAACAAAATGGAGTGGTGGAAAGAAGAAATAGATCAATATTGGACAAAATAAGATGCATTTTACTATCAAGAAGATTATCCATTTATTTATGGCCTATAGCAACAAAAACCAAAATATATCTATCAAATAGACTACTAACAAGAATAAACAATCTCAACATGTCATTGAAAGAAATGTTTTCAATGAATAAACCAAAATTATGTCATTTGAAAACATTTGGATGCTTATCTCATGTGCACATAGGACATCAATCAAGAAACAAACTACAATCAAGATCAATTACATGCAACTTTGTGGGCTATGACAAACAAACAAAAGGATATTGCATTCACTAACATCATCTCAAGAAAATCATTGTTTCTAGAGATGTAATTTTTGAAAATGTTTTATTTTTTATTTTTTTATTGAATACAACAAACTATCACAAGATCATACAAAAGTGGAACAATATAACATGGAGATATCAACAATAAATGATTTAATAGAATTACTACAAGATCAATTGGGATCACATATGCATGAATCAAAAATTCTAAATTTTCCAACTAAAAATCATAACCATTTTGAAATCTCTCAAAGCAATAAAATTATTGCATCTCGAACAACCACAGATTTTATTGATCAAGAAACAACTAAAGATGTAATATGTAACAACTCTTATAGCAAACCGCTCATTCCATCATTAAAAAAATATATCAAAATTTATACAACTATTTTAAGCTATGCTCCAAGAGTAGAAATTGATGAATGGCCCATCACTAAAACTTATAATGATATATCTTTAGTTGAATAAACACACTTCCTAGATAAAGAAACCAATTACACCTACCATTACTAATTACTATGGGAGCATGTAAACAAATAAGAATACCAAAATAATTGAGAGATCATTTTGCAGGGCTAATGACAATATCAAACCTAGAACCAACCACATATCATGAAGCAGCTCATCATCAAGGATGGAAATAAGCCATGATAGAAGAAATGAAATCCATATATAAAAATGAAACTTAGACCATTTCAAATCTATCACAATTAGATGGGTTTATAAAGCAAAACTAAATACAAATGGTTCACTTCAAAAACACAAAGTTAGACTAGTAATAAGAGGTTTTGAACAAAAAGAAGGTATTTACTATGAAGAAACATTTGCACCAGTAGTAAATGGGCCACTATTAGAGCCATGATTTCTATTGCAATTCAAAAAAATTAGAACTATATCACATAGATATTATAATTATATTTCTTTATGGAGTTCTAAAAATAGAAGTACATATTATTCAACCATAAGACTTTAAAATTCCTAATAAAGAACATATAATTTACAAATTAAAAAAGCACTATATAGACTAAAATAAGCTCTTTCAATATGGTATGAAAAAATAGGTGTCCAATAAAGAATAGGTGATCATAACTTATACTTAAGATTATTGAAAGACAAACTAATTCCTATTGCATTATATGTTAATGACCTTGTTATAATTGGCAATTGTATAAAGAATATGATTAAATTGAAAAATAAATTACATGATCCTTTCCAAATGTTTGAACTATGAAGAAGAAAAATCACATTCTATCTAAAGGTTGAATGCATATAAGTAAAGGAAGGAATTTTTATGATACAAAAAGCCTATGCACACAATATATTAGTAACTTTTGGCATGGAATATTATATACATGCAACAACTCCAATGGATAAAAAATTAAAGCTTATATGTGATATGAGATAAAAAGAAGTGGACTCAATACAATATTGTAGCATAGTTGGCAAATGTCTCGATTGAACTCACACTTGTTTTGATATTCATGGTAAGACCTAAAAAATCACATCTACTAGCATCAAAAAAGATTCTATGTTACATCAAGTATACTCAAGTTTATGAAATTTGTAGAAAAAGAACAATCAAAATTACCTAATTGGATATATAAATTCTAACTGGGTTGGAGATATAGAACAAGTGTAATCTACCACAAGTTTTGTATTCAATATTGGCAATACACCTATATTATGGTCATCAAAAACAATCAACAATAGCTCTATCTTCTTCAAATGCAAAATATATAGCACTAATAGAAGCCTCAAGAAAAGCCACTTTGCTATCAATACTGCTCAAAGATTTACAAATCAAAATACAACATCCTATAATCATATACTATAACAATGCTAGTAGTATAAGCATAGCAACCAATCTAGTAGTCAATCCAAGAACAAGACATATTGTGGCACAATATCATTTCACTAGAGAAAAAATCAAATCAAGGGAAATCAATCTTCAATATGTACCAACCATGGAACAAGTAGCAAATATCTTTACAAAGCTACTAGAGCAATCTTTATTTGAAAATTCCAAGAAAAAACGAATGTGATCAACACATTTAGTCTAACTAGATATAAAAAATAAAAATAAATAAAAAAGAAAAAATGTTATATATATATATATATATATATATCTAGCTTAAAACATAGTTCTCAGCATCTATCGTCTTTCAAAATGGAACTTCACTTCGCACAACACCTGTAGTGGTGTTCTTTTGCTGATCTCCTGAGTTCATCACAGTTACCGTGTTACTGTGTCGTTTAGTAGAATCTCTCACAGTGACCTGTAGCTCAGGCTTAGAGTTGTGAAAAGTAGCTATCAGAATCACAAGAGTGTAGGTTGCGATGGAGCGCGAATGAATGGGTGAAGAGGGATGATAAAAGAATAGTCGGACTGACCGAATTGGGATGGCATCCAACAACATTCGGAACCCAAAACTGGGGCACAGCTGGAGCATCGAACGAAGCCAGTCGTTCTTTTTGCTCATCACATTTGTACCCTACATCAGTTCGACTTCATATTAACTTCCAACACTTTTATTTTTTATTTTTTTTGTGTCGTTTTGTTTCTAGGCAAGTGCGTGAAAGTGCTACTTCGCCATTTTGGTTAAGAACTTTGAATTATGATTGCCCTGAATGGGCCGTAATCACATTACTTCCACAAGCTTCTACAGGGCACGAGACTTTTCGACCTAGTTGTGGGGGGTTACATCAATGTAACGTTTAGCATCTCTCTCACACTCACACACACATTCCTGCAATTGCTCTCCGCATATCCTTCCCTTTGTCATCACCCCTGTTCCTTTGCATTGTTTTCGTTGCATTCAACGTCGTCGCAAGGAAATCTCAACAAAGTTTCAGCCTTGTCTTACTCACTTAACATCATATAGCATATTTTCGCCTTGTTGCACCACACCTAACCCACGTTATCCTACGCTTACGAAAACCTGTAGGTGCTTCTGTATCTCCCTCCCTGAACAATTTCTATCAATTTCTTGGCGTTGCCTCGGAAAGTGAGCGATTGGCAGGTCTAGGACTATTTCCTTTGGCGGAGCCAGTAACTCGCATGATCCTGATACCAGCTGCACTTGTCCAACCAGGTGCTCAGGTATGGCTGTCAGCAGGACACGGCGGCTTTCTGCACAAGTGACTCCAAACTCAGGTTGCGAAATGAGAAACAAGCGATGGTACCTAGCTGATGAACGGCAGGAATGGGGAAAATAAGAATACGCACAGTATTGACGAGGTGACTTTGATTGCATACGCAATTGTTGTACGATTGAGAGTCCTACATCGACAACTCCAAGATGAGGAGGGTACATAGATTGGCGCCGCAGTGTGACATGCTGGAGCTTGTACCACCGCGTCGCTCTCAAGTGTTTCTTGAATGGCAAATGAGGAATAAGGAAACAACGCAACTTCTGAACCCTAAGTCAAAGGACCGTCTTCACATCTGGCAGAAAGTGAACCGTGATCGCGACTTGAACATTCTTGAGTAAGTCCCAAGATAAACCTGAAAAGAGGACTTCGATGGATCCTTGCCCCACTGTCCCGAACTCTTCATTCATTGAATAGCCTACGTGCTGATAAGGTTTAGTGAGCAATAAAATGCCAACAACACTGTGTGTAATGCTTAGAGCAGCGGCTGCGGCATCCTCGAAACACATATGATGGCACCTAGAAATGCAACATGAGCATATATTGCATCCTCCAGTGTATGATGTACTGCAGTCATGCATTAATCCTCGTAAAGATAACACTGAAGTGTTGCTAGCGTTTTGCCATTTCCAGTTAAATTCTATTCATATGCTTGTGCGGTTGCAGGGATTACTATTGGTTTTACGAAGAATGGGATCGGATCAACAATAAGTTCGTGAAATTGTTCAACAAAACATTTCCAGAGCTGCTGATGGAACGCATTCACCACTATCGAATCAAGATGGAAAACGCTATGCTTGTTGCCGCCTGCATACGAACTGCCTCCGAGGGAGAGGACGACGACCCGGACCAAGCAAGTTTTTTTTAGTAGTCATTCGCCTTGATTTGCACATTTCCCAGCGACAGGAAGATTGATGTTTTGTCCTAAATAATAAATTCGTCAGGGTGAAGTTCAGGGCAGTTCTGCTCAGGTTGTATATTACTGTAGTATATCAAGGGAAAGAACTTGCCTTAACACTATTTTTTGAAATGCCGATAGGTCAATCATGTTATCAGTTCTCCCTTCACCACCTCACTTTCGTTTTTCTCCTCTTATTTTTCTTTCTTTTCTATATCACACTTAAATGGAATGTTGGTGCTACAACGCTTGTGCAATTAAGAAGGAAATATGAATTTAAATTGCAGTTGTACAACAAGAATTTCATTTTTATAAAATCAATGCCACATGGGCAAGCGGTGCACATGGTTCAGTTAATTGGTTATACATTTATTTGGTTACTGTCAAATCTAAATCTGATATTGTGGATGTATTTAATTACTGTGTTGATGGCATAGTGGATGAAATCTTTACGCAAATATCCTTGGGACCCCATGGCAAGCGGCACACCAAAATGTGAATGGGATAATGGTAGAACATCATCAGCCACATTAAATGACACTAAAATGGAAGTCTCTTCTACCAACCACATAGGAAGAGCAGACAAAGATCCTCCAAATTTTCAGTACTTCAAGGATCAATATTCTTATGTTGGAAAAAAACAAGAGAATTGGACTATTTGGGAGAAATTTTGTTTTAAAATGGATGCTGCTCTTAAAAAGTTGGAGGCTCACTATCCTGATTTCACAGGGTTGCTGGTAACTATACTTATTTGTTTATCATACTAATTATGGATGTTAATAAAATAAATTCTTTACAAGCATACTCTTGACAAATGTTTCCCATCCTGAATCTTGTTACACTATGAGATAGGGTTTGCAACATTAGTCATACAAATTATCTAGAGTTATTTATCTTTGGCTTTTGATTTTTTAAAGTAAATTAACAGTAATGCAATCAAGTATCAAAGCATAGGCTACTTTGTTTACTACCCTAACTCTATTAATGCCAAACCAGATGTGTTCCTGCTTAGAAAAAAAACATTATTCACTTTCCAAAATATAATTGTTTTATAACATATCAACAACATGTAGTATATCATGTTCAAAAATGAAGTCATGGATAAAACTAGTTTAGTTTCAAAAAAAATAAAACATTGTTCATTTTACTGCTCCTGTATTCAATGTAGTGGTAATTTTTTTTTTTAGAAGTAAAACTTTCCATTTAAATGGTCTTTGACATAAACAAGGTGTAGATTTTTTTGATGTTATGACTTGCCAGGTTTATGGGAAGAGATTGAAGCCACCTTTAAATCAACCGCATCCCACATCTTCTATCTGTATTGAACCAAGTGTGCAACCTAAGGTCAACTGGTTCCCATCACATATGGTCTTGTTTTATGAGTGCACTGTTTGTGCTGCTTAACTTAGCAGGTGTTTATTAATTTGAAAGTTTGCAGCTGAAGTTTTTTGACATTGTAGTTTGAGTTGGGTGCAGAAACCTGCTGCCATTCTTGGGCCAGCTGCCACTATCAGCTTGAATTACTATTTCATTTTAAACCAAGTTGGTAAGAATCCATGGTGTCCATAATATATTGTGCTAGTGAAATAGAACTCTTGAACATAATTTGGGTTTTGGAACAAAGTCTAAATCGTTTTGTAAACAAATAAGTGTGGAGGACCAACTTTGCTTTTCTACATATTTCACACAAATGTAAAGGTGAAAATCAATAATTATCACTAGATCATGCACAAGTGAAGGAACTCTTGCCAATCCAAAGTTCTCAGTGCTCAAACTTATAGGACAGCCATGTGAAGTAGCCCTACAATTTATATAATTGTACTGATAAGTCACAATTCTCAGGTAATGCTCAGTCCAGACACCCTACATCATGTTCTAGTTTAGGACTTGATTACCACTAAGATGTGTTCACAAATTACCAAACCCAACATTTTCTTTAGAGCCTCTGTAAGTTTGGGCACTGTTTGACTATTTCTGGATGATGAATTGAATGGATGATTAGAATTGGCTCCATTTCTTGAGATGCATGACTGAGGATTTGTAGCTCAGGAGAACTAAGCAAAAGGACTGTTACACTGGAGAATTGTGGTGAGACAGTTCTCTTTTATACTTGGAGGCAAAGACCAATGGAATCCCTGACCAGGTCCTCCAAAGCTTGTTTAGGTTTGAGCTCACAGTCCCATGTTTCTCAATTGTATGTTAATTGAGTATATTATTTTAGGTGAAATTGCAATGTTGAATTCAAAAAATCGAGGCTTAATTTACCATGATTTGGGCATAAGAGTAGAAATAATTTGAGTGCAAATTATTCAACTTCTACATATCCATTAGAAAATTTAATTATATTGTCATAGATGGCACTTTCCACCATATCATGAGGAAATATCTTGTGCTCATGTAATGTTAAATGTAGTTTTTTACTACAAGGCAATTAGAGGAATCAAGTCTTGAATATAAGATTACATAGGCAAATAAAAATTTATAAATAATAAATAACTAACTAACTGTCTCTAGTCTTTTACTTTAAGAATAAAAATAAAAATAAAAATAAAATAAAAACACAAAGCACAGTGAGTTTTAAAAGTATAATACATCCAATTGTTTGTTACATATTGACAAGATAATATAGTAGAGAAGATATTCATGTAATCAAGTTGTCTCAAGCTGGTTTAATCTTCAAAGTACAGAGAAATATTTTTAAAATTTTTATTTTTTATAGAAAAGAATTTATTGCCTATGACTTATCTATACTTGGTGGTGGAGGTGGAATGAGAGAGAGGCCTAGGAGTTCCACAAATACTATTGTTGAGCAGGCTATGTTCAAATTTGATGCAAAGGAGGTGAAATAGAGAAGTGGGCCATTTGGTGTGCAGGTATACATAAAACTAATTGTCACATGTTCAGTGTAGTCAATTCATCAGGAAGCATACAATCCAATGAGGTGAAGAAATTTGACTTCACATTCAAATCCCATGTCCCTGGAGTGTTTTTGGAGAGTTGGGTTATCTGTATTGCTCCCAAACTACCACTTTGTTGGAGTCTTGATCCTGTCTTCTTTAAGGGAGTTGCAATCTCCGAAGACCATGTTGAGTATGTCAATCACACATTTACACATATTACTAACTATGTGCATTGAAGTTTATACTTTTCACTGATCAAAATCATGTGCAAGTTGCATAACAAAAGCTGTTTGTTAATATTCACACAACAATGAATTCATTGGTATATGATGAAGAAACCCTTCATAAATGCTTGGAATTTTAAAAGAGAATATAATTAAATGAATATAAATGAAATTACAAAAGCTTATCTATAGTCAATTAATTTTTTGATAAAACAGATAGAAACTCCAATTGTCCAAAGTTAACAAAACATGATCCATAACATAACATTGCTAGGTACTGCACACAATTATGGATTTCTAAGAATGCCTGTGGTGTTAATAACATCTTATAAAAGTACTAGATGTTTAATGCTAAAATTGTCCTATCATAATTCATAATGGAAGTAGCATACTTATATGCAATTTTTGAACTGAACAGCAAATTAGGAGAGAGGCTATCAATGAGACTGTATAATCATGAAATGATGAGTGGCATCAATGAAATTGTAATGGACATACTCAACCAAGCAGCAAGGACTTCCCAGGCTGCAGAAGAGATGCGCAACACTAGGGATTATATGTTCTCTAACAAAGCATTGAATTTCTTACAGAAGAATGTAGACTTGGAGCCCCCCGTGTTCTATGCTCCAACACGGTACAAGAGAATAGAAGCATTGGCAATGGTTGTCAAAGCATGGGAAACTTGTGATCCTAGTCAACCAAGAACAAAACAAGCAGCAGCTGCACCCGGTGCTCTTCCTTCACAAACATGGGGCCTCCCACTGATTCCATGGGCATGGGATGGTTCTTTCTCCAGCATCTCCACCGGTTTTCTTCTTACTTGCCCTTCCATTTCACTCTCCCTTCATGTTTTCTCTCCAGATATTGCAAGCACATGCCATTCTTTCCATTCTGCTTTCCTGCCTTTAAGCATCAGGTGTCCACTCGGCCTTGACGTGTTCATAAAAATGTGAAAGATGGTTCTCATGTCTACCCCATTCTTCCAAAGGATTAACCAATTGTAGTAATATTTGGACATGTTGAAAGCTGAATTCTTCTAAATTTCTTGTGCATATGATCACTTATCTATCCTTGTAGGTATTGAACAAGCTGCTATGAGTGAGAGAATGAGACAACATTTTCAAAGTGAATTACAATCTTTGAAAGAATTGGTCCAAATTCCTCCAGATCACAGTGTGTTATGTCAAGCTGCTATATATAAGATGTTGAAGAGAGCTTCTGATCATACTGGAGATGTGATAACCCAAACTTCCGAAGAAGTTGGCACACGTATGGTTGAAGGGCTGATCCAAAATTACTCCAAGAAGCAGGACCAAGGTCACCCTCACCCAGATGCTCCAGCAATTACCACAACAGCAAAACAGTCTAGAGCTACCAAACCAGAAGTAAGCTCTTCAATTCTAAGCTGCATCATTCATTCAAAAATGATTTGATGGTTTCTTTGTGATTTCAAATCATAGTGCAGTTGGTGTGTTAACTATGTAGAAATCCAGATATTAACGATTATCAAAATTCCTCTTGCAGTCCAAAGAGCTTTTAATCATTAAAACAGTTCCTCTGTACACATATTAGAACATGCTTATTTTTTGACAGTAAAACTTAATATTGATGTTAAGCTTTCTTATTCTTTTATTTTATTCATCAACCATATCTGACACCTTTGTATGAAATTCAGATTGTAAAATGAATTTTTGATTTTCAATGTTTCACTACAACATATTTACTATTTTTTTTTTGAATTTTTAATTAATGTGCAATGTTGTACCGGTTTAAAGTGACTAAAATTACCTTTAAATAACATTAATTAAAATATAAAAATCATTCATTGGGTTATGAGAATCTAAAGCACTAACTAATAGGAACATTAAGAAATAAAACTTATAAAATTGCTGTTTGGAATTTAAATTTAGTCTTGGCATTATGGTATTTACAAAGTTTTGCGGAGGATTTTGTTTGAATTGATCAGTTGCTTCTCACATGCTTTCATTGATTGTTGTTGCCAGAGCATGGGGGTATCTTCAAGACAAATACAATCTGAAAAAGCTTCCTCAGATGCAATCAGTCTTGAATCAAGACAAGACAGACAGGAGATGTTAGAAATGTGCTTCAAATGGCTCCAAATTTGTACTGAAATGCGATTGTACTGGGAAAAAGGCATTGATGATTATGAAGAACAACTTTCAAATGAGCAAAGCCATCTCAAGAAACTAATAAATCAACGCATTTTGGAACTCATTCCATTTGTAGATGAGACATCTTCATGGGATAGGTTTGCATTGGAAAGAGCAAAACAACAATTACTACAAGAAGAATATAATACAAAATAATAAAATATATATATATATATATGTTCATTTAAGTTCAAACAATCACACTATGTTCAAAACCACCACATCAATCCTACATCCTAGAACAAACAAAATATGCTCCAAACTAATGAAATTGAACAAGAAAAAATCCAAGAAAATGGTTCATAACTCAATAAGTGAATATTAACAGCTTGGACAGGGTCAATTGAGCTGAAAAAATAACAGTTGTGATATCATTGATGTAATTGGTATAAACTTTTGTGTTGGTTGGATATGGTTTTGTGCGTCAACAAGGTCTTCTTTGATAAAAATCAGATGTAGTTTTGTAGTTGTTTATAATATTAGGTAGTTGCACAATTGTCCAAGTTGTAGACCTTGATTTCCAATAGGATGGAGCTGCAAGTTTGATATTCCACTTATATGTATAATCCAACCTTTCTTAGGTATATGTAGCACTTAATTGAATTATATATGGTGTTTATTGAATGTGCTATAACTTTGTGTATTCTGAGCATCTAAAACAAATCTATTGTATTTGGACTTTTGATTGGTTGATATAAACAATCAAGAATATCTTTAAGTAGTCAATGGTGTAATACTTGAAGCAAAAAGAATAATATCAACTGCAAAACTGCAATCAAAGCTTATGGCATGCATGATAGTCACCTCTAAATCCTCCCAAATCATGCCTCACAACTAACACTAAAACAACATAAATAATTATCTGAACATTTACCATAAAGATCCAAAATCTATTGGAAACACATAAAACTTGGAGGAGTGGCTGACCTTGGCCAAGGAATCAATGATATTTGTATTAAAATAGATTATCTTAGTCATAGTAAAACAGAAGAATAGATTAGTTTATTAATAATCTATTAATTTTGTAGCTCCTATGTAACAAATACTCATGGGTCTAAGCATCAAAATCTCAATCCGCAAGATCTGTAGTTCTTCTAGAACTTCTACTATCTGAGTGTACATGAGAATGATTGACCTGATAGAAACAGAGAATGTTACTTCAATTAGCAAAACCCAATGTCTGCAGCATTAGCATATACTGGGCATTGTCGTCCTAATCCTTTCAAGATCATCACCAAAAGCAACATGTGGCCAAATACTTGACCAGAATATCTCGTCAAGGATTCCGTGCAAGAGCAACACCTCCTCACAAGCTTTCTCAAGGTTGAGAAGGGAACTAGTTTTACACTCCTCAAAGATATGGATGCCTTTCATCACCCTGTACGAGGGCAATTCCATAGTCAATCTCCACATTACGGGTCATTAACTGCTCTTCTTTCTATACCATTTAACGTTCGTTGAAAATCTGCCTCATTCAATATCTCACTCTTGTCTCGCATCCCACATTAGAAGAATTCTTTTGCTACCAACAATTTTGTAGTACAAGAGGCTGTTATAATATATTGTCTTAGCCATAGTAAACCGTTGTTAGTAAATGTAGAAGAAAACCTAGTTTATTGCTCATCTTCATCAATTCCAGCTATCTTAGAAGTCTCTTATATATATATATATATCCAAGTCAATCCTAAATTCTTAGTCTCTTGCTTATAATATGTGATATCAATCACATTTTTCAACTATGTTTTTTTGTCTGAGAATGTATTTTACAACCTAAATAAGCAAATCAGCACTGGAATTGCAAAAAGAAAAGAAAAGAAATAGGGCAAGAATAAGATACATGGGAACAAGTGAAGATGAAAGTAAAGAGAAATATTGAAAAGGAATGTCAGTGCGTACCAAAATGGGTCCATGTGTACAATCCTGATGTGGCCTCCACAGCCCAGTAAGATGAAATGTGGGAGTGAGAGAGAGCCAGCCCCTTGACCTCACAATACATATCACCATCATGCTATCTTTCTATTCTTTTGAAAACACATGGAATTCCTTCTGCACATATCTTATTGTATTAGAAATCATAACATTATTCAAGTTGTGAGGTATACTTCATTTCGTTTTCAGTTGTCTTTTGGAAATAATTTATAACTTTCATTACTGTATATAATGTTAGTTTTCACATTTCACAATATTTATTCAATTAATTCTTCCAAATAATAAATTTATTAATTATTAAATTTAAATTTTCATATTAAGAATTATTCTATTTTCAGAACTCTAATATTGCTAGAACCACCTTTATACATTTACAAGAATATTTTTTCATTAAGAGAATGTACAAAAATTACTAATTCAAAATTATATTTTGTAAAACATTATCTACAAATAAATATAAGTAAATATATATATATATATATATTTTTTTAAAAAAATTCTTAGGAAAATAAAATGTATGTTGTGTAATTTCAATATTTTACAAAAAATTATGTTTTTATATTACACAAACTTCAGCACCCATGTCAATGTGGATCAGCATGGGCCCCATGAGGAATGGGTTCTGAGTTTCCAACCTGCCCACCCTTCAACCTGCCCGCCCTCCAACCTGCCCATCCTTCAACCTGCCCGCCCTCCAACCTGCCCGCCCTTCTGGTTCGCCTACGATCCGATAAATCCGATCAGCGGTTGAGATTGTATCTGAGCGGCAGCTACGATCCGACGGCTTACAATGGCGGAGCCAGTCAATTGAGCAGTGAAGTTTGTGCGACACAATTCTACGAGGGGTGCCCTCCATAGCTAAAAGAAATGTGGCAGTGAAGCTACAACCCCTCGAGCAGCGACCGGAGGACGGGGAAACCCAGGAAAAAAGCTTTGATATTCTCACAACTGGCTTCCACGCTTGCTCTTGCTCTCGCTCGCTCTTCTTTCCACCTCGGCGCCTCTTCCTTTCCCTGCCTTCTTTCTCCTCACCGCTTCTCTTTCTGGTCCAATCTATTCCTTCTGAACGCCGACTTTATTTCCGGAGACTACTTTTCTTTCCGTGAACAACTTTCTTTCTCTGACATGGGCTTTCCGATGATTCCAGGGTTACGGAGACCGTGTTGAGAATGAATTTATTTCCAAATATTTTACCTGGATCTGTTTGCTTTGCACCATTTCGCCTAATTTTCATTTTATTTCGATGTTTATTTCAACAAAATCTTATTGAACAGCAGTTCGATTTTGGTTAAATGTTGCTCACAATATCATGTCCCACTGCTATTGCAATTGTACTACTTTTGAGTTTGTGGGAGGACAGAACTGCATAGCATTTATTTTTATTTTTATTTTTCAAAATTTCCTACTGAAGTGGATTTATTTTTTTAATAGTAATATTATTTTGAGATTAACATGCATCATAAACTTAAAAATTAATAGTATATTTAAAAATAGTAAAATATCATTCTTAACTGATACAACAACAATTAAATAAATCAACATCTGTACAAATTCTATACCTTCGTATTATAAAATAATGAGATAAACATAAAATTATAAAAACAATTAAGCAACTGTGTGCAGTGTATAGTTTATTTTGGGTAAAGTTTTGTGAGGTCTGTAGTTGTTCCATTTTATCTTTGTTGCTTTTAAATTTGATCCAAATATGACCAACACTAAGAATTGTTGATATCAGTTATTGCTCACTGACAAAGACAATTAAGGTTTCTAAGTTCTAGTTAAACATTTTTATTTTGTATCAAATCTTGTGTATTGTATTTATTTAAATCAAATTTTAGATGGTATAGACTTCTATGAAATAGATGGTTTTAAACACCTTTCACACAAATGAATAAAATTAAAATATTAAAGTAATATTTTTTTTATAAATGTCATTATAGAAATCATAAAATTAATATTGGTGTAGTCAAAGTCAGAAAAATAAGAATATTTTTGAAATTTTTATTTTAATAAGATCCATAAAATATATAATTTATTCATAATATTTCTTTAGATATCTCATCTAAAAACTGTATTTACGTAATTCAGAATACTTACTTTAGTTCAAAATATTAATATTTGAGACAAAAAAAATTATTACAGCCGTGCAAATTGAATACAAAACGTATGTGGTAGTTTTTATTGGTATTTAATAAACTGATATATATATATATTTTTTTAATTGACATGTTAATTGACATGCAAATAAATATAATACATAAATAATATATATATATATATATATATATATAAATTAATTTTATGAACAAAGGTGTTTGTATACTTGGTAGTATAGTGATATAAGATGAATAATGAGTTTCAAACTATTTCTACTAAAAACATTTATTATACCTTATTAATCTAATTGCAACAATATGAAATAAAAAAAAGTACTTAAATTCTAATATTTTATAGATTCTATAATACTTGTAAAACTATCCAAATATGTAAGAATTGATTTGTTTAGACTTTTAAATCCACCATGTATTATCAATATTAGAAGGCCTTTTTATTCTTAATCAAAATGTAGCATCCAAGATTTGTCTTTATTTTTAGATTTTAGAAATAAAAACATAAGTTAAGAATTATTTCCATTTCAATCATTCTTTGAAATTATATTAATTAAATGTTTTATTTTTTAATAATTTTAAGAGAAAAAAACAAAAAAATTTAATAAAAATTAATTTCCATAACTCATCTATAGGATTTTACAAAAATATTTTTTAAACAAGTCATAATAATTGTAATGGTTGCTTTAAATAAAGCAAAGTAAGGTTTTAATAAACCATATTGGCTTAATATTGCTTTCATTGGTTTGTGGTTCTAATATATGGTATAGCATCTAATCAACCAATAAATGTAAATCTAACATCATAAGATCTCTATCTCTAAATATCTTAAAATCGTCTATTTGAATTTATAAGTATTACTCTGTCATGTGTTTGAAAATCAAGTATATATGTTGTTGGATTGGATAATTTTTATTATAGTCAAAGACACTTTAAGATGGATTTAGATTAATATCTTTTTTATTTATTTTTGATTCCTCTCACATTTTCATTTGTTAATTTTTATAAGGAAAAATTCACTTATGAATTGGCTATTTAATTATAAGACTAATTGATCTATATTGCTTTAATCTAAGAAGATTTTTAGACTTTAAAAATTTGAAACTAAATATAATTTCAATTTCAATTCTTACCTCTCTTGTTGTTTTTACCATTTTTATTATTTTTTTGTTTTTTCTAAATATATAATATGATTGATAGAAAATATGGTAATTTAGTTAATAAGGATATGATATTTTTTATTATAATTTTTTATTTCTTCTATTATTTTGGTTGCATGATTATAATTCTTTAAGATTTTAGGTTGATTATTCAAAATTTTCTAAATAGTTTCTCCTTAAGCTATTTTTTCTAAATAAATAAATAAAATTCTATTTATTTTTAATTCTAATTATTTTCAAGACTAAAGTTAGAAACTCATCTAAAAAAATAGAATCTTTAAGTAACCATGGGAAGACAAACATAAGTAAGGTTTTTTAGTGTAAAAGGAGTTACTTGGTTATTTTGATGTTTCATATCTTCTAAACTAAAATAATGTTTAGGATTCTAATTATACCTCCAAAAATTTCATGTGTGAAAAG